AAAAAAAAATCGTAGAAGCAGAAGAATGACCTGAGATCGGGAAGCTAGGCTTAAAAAGAAATAAAAAGACACGAGCCCCCATCCCTAATTAAGAAGCTATCTCCAGCTGATGACCATTCAAGAGGAAAGTTAACTTACTCCAATGGAGTCTCACTGGGCATATTAACCACATGTAGCTGTAGGACTCATTCCTAGCAATATACGGCCAAGACAAAATGAACGCCATAGTATTTTTGTAGATTATTTTGTATCACGGTGCTTTGCTTGAGCATTTTAAAACTCTTACTGGTCTTTTGTGGGAATATTATGGTTTCTGATTTTGGGGGGGTATTTCTTGGGGAGGACTTGTTTTCTTTTGTGTTTTCTATTCATTCCATTAATTCATTAATTCATTCACTCATTCTTTTTTTTTTTTTTGCCTGTTCATTTCCTAAAGAGAGAGAGAAAGCATGGAGTTGAGTAGTTAGGGACACAGGGTGGATCCAAGAGGAGTTAGGGAAAGAGGAAAATGTCATCAGAATATATTGTAGGAAAAAAAAAATACTTTCAATTAGAAACACAACACATTCAGAAAACATGAGAAAGGGTGCTACCTGGATGCAGGAGGCCCTGGAACCCAGACTGGGACTCTATCTCAACCTGGTGGTTCGTGACAGATTGAGGTGACGAAGCCAACTTTGACTGGCCTCACCGCTTAGCTCAGGGTACCTCCATGATCCAGCAGGGAGGGTAAGGTCATGACTTTCCCTTATTTGGCTGTGACCTTTCCATGGGGAGGAGGGAGGATATGGTCCCTGAGTGCAAAGCATTTAACCCAAGCCCTGCTGTCTACACAGTACAGTGGGTCAAACTAGACAGCTCTGGGCCCTAGCACTGTAAGCAGCCATCCATCCGGGCAAGTACCACACCAGAAAGAGAGGGAGTGCCTTTCCCTAGCCCAAGTGTTGTTTGTGTTGATTTTCTTATTCTTTCTCCCAGGATAGGGCTGTGGCCTTGCTCCTCTAATTAGCATATTGAGCCAACATTTCACCCTGGCCTCTTCTGTCCCTGGCTTCTCCTCAATCCTTTAAGCTTCAGGGTTCCGGGTTGGGATTTTCTTCCCCTTTAGCAGCTAGCTGGACCCTTTCCCCAGTCAGGGGACTGCTGTCCTTCTCACCTCAGAGGTTCTGTAAAAACCTGTGCTAGCCTGCCACTGGTCTCCATTAGCACTGCGCACAGAGAACTTTCTAGAATGTCAGTGAATCCTCTAACATCCACCAGCCAAAGGCTTGCGAGCAGGGGCCTCTTTTTCACTTTGTTTCTAGGCCCAGACTCAGCGATGCAGAGCATGTCTGCAGGGTCATTACTGTGTTAGAGAAGTCGATTCTTCATGTGGGCAGGGGAAAATGTATATACAAACTTAGCATATAATAGTTGGCAACATTAGAAAATCTGCTAGGCAGTGGTCCAATACTTTGTAAATATTAGCTTGGTTTTTCTCTCATAATTTTTGAAACTGGTCATTGTTATTCCCATGTTGGGCAACCAAGAATACAGTTAAATGGTTGGCTTTGCTCTGCTGGGCTTGCAGGCAGTCTGCCCACAGAATCGCGTTTGCAAACTGTTAGAATGCTGTGTTTCACAACGTTGTAGATAATGACTCTCTTTACCTCACATGCACCCATGTTCCATTGTGACCCCTTTTCCTATATGTAACATCTTACTCTGTCTGACCATTATTATGTCAACAAACAAACCCAGATTTTAGATTTCCATCATCCTCATCCTACTCAGACCACCGCTCACTGCCCTTCCCTGTGACTAATAACCATTCCCCCCCCACACCCTCTTTTTCTCCACTACACAGCCTATTGTCTACTTAGCCAGGATGATCACTGCAAGAATAAATCAGGTGCACCGACATCCCACGTCTACCCCTCAGTGATGCCCCCTTCACTTAGACTAGGACCCATAAACTTTCTTTCCATAAGAAGCCTTTCTAACGGGAATGTAGCTTACCCACCCACCCACCAACTCATTCACAATCTGTTACCATGAAGTCGGTCATTGGGACAAGGTCATCTTGCTCTCCATGGCATCTAGGGCAGCGCCACGTTGGGGATGGCTAGTCCATAAGATGGAAAGTAAACTGCTCATAAAGACAGAGGAAGGTGGGGGACACGTTCAAGAGAAGGAGCCAACACTTTGTGATACTAGGAGAAAGACCCTAGCCAAGGACAAAGGGCTGGCTGTGGTGTAGGTAGATTGAGGTTAGAATGCTAGAATGTTCTAGCGAAGATGAAGTGGGGTTCTTGGTCTTTATGCTGACCAGAGGAACAGAAGTCTTGTTCATTACAGCAATGGGAGGTAATGCTGGGAGGCAAGCTATGTTTGGAAGCTTTCGAATACTAGAAATCTGAGCTCCAACAAATAGTCAGGGGGTTGGGCATGGGGGGGTGCTGTGTTAGAAGTGGCAGAGTATTTGTCTTCTGAGTATAAAACCCCCATCTTGCACATTTTTCATACTTTCTTCCAGTGAGACCTGATACTACCATCACTTTCCACCTCAACCTCTTCGAAGATTTCCCCTCTCATCATTTTCGTACTGAACACCTAGTTATTCAAGTGAATTGATGTAGTGAGCGCCTATGCTCAAGTGCACATCACAGGGCTGGCAACTGTGTGTGTTTGGTTGTCATGGATTCCTGTGTATGAATGTTGTGTTTTTCGGGTTGAATTCTCAAGAGGAAGTGGGCTGTACAGTTTTATAGCCCTCTGTCAGTGATTAATCTGGCAAATCACAGAGATATATGTTGTGACTGTTCTTTTTTTGATGAAACTGCCTCACATTGCTCTCCCTTAGGTATTTAAGTAGGCAGATCGATGTTCTGCAATCCAAGAAAACTTATACTTAATTCTGTTCTCTCATAGATAAATTTGAGTGAAGACCCAGTTGATATAGTCTGGAGGAATAAAGAGCTTTTCCATCCTTACGATGATCAAAGAACCAGCTGTTACCTTCCAGTTCGGCTCCTAAAGGACTGATAAAGCCATCACCGGGTTCTCCATATGACTTCCGTGGGCTGCAAGGTTCGAATGCAAACAAGAGTCTGTTCCTTCCCATAACCAAAGCCAGAAGGATGATACTGACATCCAAGGAGCATACAGTACTGCACAAATCAAGTTTATTAATTTAAACACAAAATGAATGAAGAAAACATCTGTACACATCTGTGGACACAACAAACTTATTATTATTATTTTTTTACAGAAAGGCCAAGATCAAATTTGTCTTTTCAGTCTGCACAGAGTACAAAATCATCAAATGAAGAGGCTTAAAAACTGTCCACTTCTGTCTACGCCACATGAGACCGGAAACGAATTCCATTATTCACTTGCACAATTTGGAGAATTTCCCAGGGACTAATGTTAGCAGCAACATGGAATTGTACAAAAGGAAAGGGTAGAGTGGTTTGTCTGCTACTCTGGGTCAAAGCCAGTACCCTCGATATATTATTAGACAAAAGGATCCAAAGCAAAATTTCATACCAACACAAAGCCCAAGATGAGAAAGATTCCTGCCCAATCAGATTCATCATTTTGGGAGAATCTTACATGACAAACATGATCATTTGTCATCATCACCCACCTACCAGCTTCAGATTTATGTCTGTAATGTCATAAATGAGAGTGACATTGCAACATTAGTGTTTGTGATAATGTCCAGACAGACCCATTGTGGGCACTGAATATTCTCCGGGCGGGAGAGGAGGGGCTGAGGAGCTATGTGGTAATGTCCTTGTTGATACAAACAAGAAACCCAGACACAATAATAATTGTGACCACATGGAAACTCTGCTAGGCTCCATTTAATTTTATTAATAAAATATATCTATCATCTATATTCTTTCTGTGGGATGACGCATTTGAATAATCAATCACTCTTTTCCAAGTAGTTACATATAATACATTAGTGTTGAAATGGGAGAGTGAGGTTGGCCGGAAGACTTTTAAGCTTTCTTTCAGTTATCAAACTGCTATGTTATTTTTATCAAGGCCCTTCTAACCAACACACACACACACACACACACACACACACACACACACACACACACACACACCACAAGAAAAATCGTTGGGATAAAAGATTGGGAAAATAAAATCCTTGTTGACACTTGACATTCATGCTTTTGGTCTTAGATAACATTATCAAAAAGATCCATTATCTACAATATTTATACCCAATACTTAGCTAAGGCACTGTGGGAGTTAGTGCCCAAGCTTCCTATGAAGGCATTTCTACCTCATAATAACATTTCCCTACACAGAATGTAAAAGAATCATCCATTATTACAAATTTACACCAAAAATTCTTTCTGTACACGATTGTCTCAGTGATGTACATTTTACATGTTTAAATTAGACATACTTTAAACTACTTTGCAATGTGCTAAAATTCAAAGTACTTGCCACGCTGTCAGGCAAAGGCCTTCCTTTAATTGATTATTTCTTATGTTATTGTCCCTTCAACTATTTGATATTGAGACGTCTGTCTTGGTGAATTATATGGTATATGGATTATACCTCAGCAAATCTGTTTTTCAAAAGTCTTTCCATAAATAAGTAGTGATGTACAGATTGCCCTGGGTAGGAGACACCAAAAGAAAAAAGAAAAAAAAAAAGTAAACCTTTGAGAAAATACCTCCACTATTGTCCAGGAGACAACACTTTAGTCTTTGCTGTGGAATCAAGTTTGCTGGGTTGGAGAAGCTGTTTATGTCACATTTGCTGAAAAACCAAAGTGTCTGTAGGTCTTTTCTTCACAGGTTTGAACCATGTAGTTAATGTAGCCAAGACACATCACACGGTGCTCGAACATTCTCATGGCTTCTTCTCACTGGATTCACAGTACTAGAGTCAACAGCTGTTCTGAAGAGATACACACGGTCCTCCAGTAGCCTCGAGGGGAGCAGTCGAGGCCACAGCATCCATACGCTGGAGCTGGCACACTCTGCAGTCCGGCCGGCACTGACGCAAGATTGAGGCCTGCTGGATTGTCTCTGGCCACAGGGCAGGTGCGCAGTGTCAGTTGGGCGGGGGGCCGCTACAGGTACTCCAGTTCCAAGGCGTGGTGCAGTGCCATGAGGTCCGAGTGGCTGGAGACCCTCCAGAAGGGCATAGCATGCTGCAGAGGACAGACAGAGGGTGAGGACAGAGACCCTGACGGACATGACATAAACCCTCACACCTCCTTACAGAGACCACGCTGTCCTGCTCTCCCCATCTCAGTACCGTAAAACCTGCCAGCCAGTACAACTCATGTCACATCTACTCGCGAGACACAACCCCGGCCCCGCCCCAAGAACAAGGGTGTGGGTGTGACATCCGCTTCTCTCTACTAGAACTCCACTGTGACTTGAATGACAATTCAAACGTTTAAATAAAAGTCACTGAAAAGAAGCCGGGGCTTTTCCAGGTATGACCTTTGCAGTTGTCAACGTTGACAGTTTTAAAAGCTTATACTTTACGGGTTAGGAAATTTTCCTTAGTTGATAGTATTTTGCGGTTTTTTTCCCCCCTGAATGCGATCTTGCTCATAGATGAAGCAGCTTTCTCCTTCATGACTATTCCATGTGGGAAAGATTGTAAATGAACAGCTGAGGTTAGTGTGTGCGTGTGTATCTGCAGTTGTTCAGGCCACTGAGGCACAAATTAAGTTCAGACAGAAGTGTCTGTGAACACCTGGCCAAACCAATTGTCCGGGAAAGAGGGTAGCCCCTCCTCCTACAGAGGCTCAAGCAGACCCCTACTCACAAGCATTTGAAAAAGTATTTATGCGGTGGCAAAATCTCTGAGAACAACATTCTGTTTTCTTCAGAGGAAAATGGGGTTCTTTCACACACTATAATCTAGAGGCAGATAGACTATTTGCAATTACAGCTCTGAAGAATTTGAGGAAATTTCAAAATAAGAAGGTGAAAGCTTGTCATGGGAGATGGATTTTAAAGATTTGTAGGTAGCCTGATATAGTTCATAAGCCTACTATATAATGACATGTACACTGTTTAATATGCTTATACACAATATGTTAATATTGTTAATATGCTCAAATTACCTGCTACGGTCTTTTATTGCATTCTCTAACTCTAATATCCAGCATTCCAGACTCAGTCCACTGAGGGGCATCCATGTATCTTTGTGATGTGTCAATAAGAGAATAGTCCAGAAATCAATGCCTAAAATCACCTCAGATGTATAGAAAGATGGCTCCCTGGGCACTATTAGATTGCAGTCTGTACCATGGCTCATTTATTTATTCAGCGAAGATTATCTTTTGCGTTTCTGGGCCCATGGTCTGGGAACAGAAGAGTCTGAGACAGGCAGTTCCGGCTCACCTTCTCAGACTGCAACACGGGAATTCATCAGTGTGCTAACATGAAAGGCACAGGAAGCTAGGGAAATACCCAGAAGAAAGTGACAGTTGAGCTGAGCGTGGGAGGTGAGCGTTTGGAAGGGTACTCAGACTGCTCTATGGGCTCAGGCCACAGATAGCACGGATCTCCGAAAACTCAAATCACTCGACAGTAACGAGTTATGCTACTATGGAAGGCAGAGAAGAGGGAGGTTTAAATAACAGCAGGCAAGGACTGAAAAGTAAGATTCCTACCCGGTCTGGGTGAAGTCTGAAGCCTGGAATCTACAGTGCTCCTCTCCCTGGATTCTACAGTGCTCCTCTCCCTGGAATCTACAGTGCTCCCCTCCCTGCCTGGATTCTAAGTGCTCCCCTTCCTCCCTGGATGCTACAGTGTCCCCTTCCTCCCTGGATGCTACAGTGTCCCCTCCCTGGATGCTACAGTGCTCCCCTGCCTGGAATCCACAGTGCTCCCTCCCTCCCTGGATGCTACAGTGTCCCCTCCCCGTACCTTGTGGCCTTTTTATGTAGCTGAACAACTCACAGCCCCATGGCACAGGCAGGTATTGAAAAAGTTTGAGTGACTGAGTCATAGAGGAGTGTGGCAAACTGATCATCTGCCACACAAAAAGCTTTCTTCCTTTATTAGAACACATTCCTGTGTATTATAAAACGCTCCGAGACTGTGGAACAACGCAAATAAATACAAACCACTTCTTTCCCTACAACTAAACTGACCACTGGAAGCAAATCTATATTTTGATATATATAAACACAGAAATTATGCATATGTACAGTTTTTACTACTCAGCATGCTCATTTTAGATATATAACATTTTAAAAGAAAGATACTCATTATTTTCAACCCATAGTTTATTTAAATGCCTCCATAGTATCTATATTTATAGACTTTGTTTTTGAAATCAGCTTGTTATTTCATACCTTCTTTTTTTGTAAGTTTTATTTTACAGTGTGTGTGTGTGTGTGTGTATGTGTGTGTGTGTGTGTGTGTGTGTGTAAGTATGGCTGTGTGCATGTAAGTGCAGGTGCTCTTGGGGGCCAGAAAAGGGCACTGGGCCCTCTGGAGCTCTAGTTACAGGCAATTGTGAGCCATTGCACATGGATTATTGGACTTAAACTTGGGTCCTCTGCAAGAGCAGCAAGTGTCCTTAACCGCTGAGCCATCTCCCCAAACCTGCTGCTCACCCCTATGCATCCTAGTGAGTATAGGTACTGCAGGATGCCAGGAGGGGCATGCTGAAGGCTCTCCAGGGGGCCAGCGGGGAGAAGCTTCACTACATCCGCTTTCCCAGACACATAGACTACTTGTGGAAACCAGGGTGCTCTGGAGGTAAGTGTTTGCCTGGGGTAAGTTCTCTTTACATACAACCACTCTCAGTTCAAATCTGACAGCTACCGGTACTCCGTGAGTGGAGAGCAAGATGAGTGACAGGGACTGAAAAGGGAACTGGAAGAAAAAACAAAAAACCAGGACCCCATTGACAAATTAAGGTGCAAAACAGGCTCTTTGACTCGCGGGCTGCCAACGCACTCCTGGGAACTGTGTCTCCTCCATACAGGTTTATTGGATGCCCACTTAGACTATTTAAGTCCAAACAACAACATCTAGAAAGGAGAAATTATTCACAGTCCTGAGTTGGATGGTTTTCTAGCACTGAGAGACAAGGAACCTTCGCTCTTCCCCTGCGGAGCACTGATAAACTCAGGCCAAGCTGTGCCCTGAGAACTGCACCTGCAGTGTAAGAAAGCTCGGCTCAGTGCAGGGGCATCGAAGCGCCTCCTCCTCGGGAATGAACCTGCCAAAGGTTTCGGATGAGAGCTGACACACCCTAGAGAATGTCAGCTGCAGCCTCAGTACCATCAAGAATGTCTAGTGACGCCTGCTGTGGGCAACAGCCCCATTCTCACAGAACCAGAGGGATGCTGAGCAGTGTCCACCATCAAGTGGCTCGTTCATAGAAAACAGCCTAGCAGAGAAGGCCAGTGACTCTTGCCGCATCAGATCTATATTGCACAGGGTAATATTTCCCTACCCAAGTACATACCAATGCCAGGATTTTACACTCGACACTACCAGGGAAAACTGGACCAATGAAGTGCGTGCGTGTGTGATGGGAGATGTCATTCTGTAAATATGTTTCTCATACTGGTTAATGAATAAAGCACTGTCGGCCAATAGGAAAGCAAGATAGGCGGGACTAGGAGACAAGGAGGAAGAGGAAGTAGTGAGGAGGAGTCAGGATGGAGAGACTGGGGGGAGAGGAACACCAGCCGCTCTCTCCCGTAAGATGAGACCACGTAGAAATCCATAGATTAACAGAAGTGGGTTAATACCTAAGACACAGCTAGCCGATAAGAAACAAGTCACTGGCCAACAGATTATATCAAATAAAGAGTCTCGATGTGTTATTTGGAGCAGGCATGGCGGTGGGACCGGCAGGGAAAAACTACTCATAAAGTGTGTGTGTGTGTGTGTGTGTGTGTGTGTGTGTGTGTGTGTGTGTTCTGTGTATAAGATTACTCTTGGTCACTAAAACAAATACTTCTTATATAAAACCAGAAGATAGGCGGCCAAAAGAGGAAAGAGTAGCACATGGCTTTGAGGAGGCCTGAGTCTCCCCTTAGCCAAATGAGGTCCCTTTATGGCACCATCTCCCCAAAGCTCCAGTTTATCGGTAAACGAAGTAGTGTAAATGATTTGTTGTTGCTTCCAAATTTATGGTTGAAACAAATGCCATTTCCTGTGGAGCACCATAGCTGCATGGAGAATGGATACATAACACAGAGCTCGGGACCACTGGGCAGACAAGACAGACTATTGAACCAGCTAATCACAACTGGGGTAGTGTGGGTGTTAGAACAAAAGCATTGGATGCGAAGAAAGACAGACCAGGAAGAGTAAACAAAGCCACGGGGGTCAATGGGCCCCAGTGTGGCTAGCCACACAAAGCTGATGAGATGGAAGAGGTTTGGGAAGCATCTTCTGCAATTAGCCTGGAATGTCAACAGGCTGGAATGTTCTGTTCATTACCCAGACTAATAAGGAAGGAAGCTTTTCAGGGGAATGCCTGGAGAATATAAGGAGTTTAGATTTTTATCTTGTAAATGGATGAGAAGGGAGGCTAATATTTGCCAAATGCCTAAAAACACCGGGAAGAAGGGATTTAAAACTATTCAGGGGCCACAGAAAGGGAGATTGGAAGGTGTGACTAGCTCATTGCAGAGAAAGCTGTGTTGTAGTTAGTGTGCAGGACAGGAGACTTGCAGAGAACAGGGGCATTTGAATGGCCGGTGGCTGGGGATACCTGAATTCATTTGGTGAGGTCAGACACTGTGGAAATAGAGATCCCTAACAAGGGGAGCTGACAGGCAACAAAGCCTCAAGGGGTACAGATCTGGGAATCTTTAGAACCAAAATATGTCCCAAGGGGAACACAATGACATGCCATTCCTGTTCTGGCTTATAGGTACAATTCTTCAAACCTCCTTCCTTACAAAACTCTGCATTTATTTCTTCTGGTTACACATGATATCCATCCTATAAAAAAAAGCTATGTACCCAGCTGTTCACATGGAAACTGAAGTTTATATAATTATTAAAAATGCATTAATAGCTGGGCATTGGTGGCACACGCCTTTAGTCCCAGCACGAGGGAGGCAGAGACAGGCGGAACTCTGTGAGTTTGAGGCCAGCCTGGTGAACAAAGCTAGTTCCAGAACAGTCTCCAAAGCAATACAGAGAACATATATATATATATATATATATATATATATATATATATATATATATATATATATATATAAAGGTCTCCTATAATCTAAGAGCTTCCTCAATGGTGTAAATACTGCACTTTCAGGAATGTACTCGCAGAATGTTCCCTGAGGACCTGCTGCTTGAAACACTAAACGTTAGAGCCCCTGAAAAGCTCAGCTCCGACAGGCTGGTAAAATAATAATAGCACACCCACACAGCAGCACATTGGTACAGCCACTTAAAGGATTAGTGGTGCAGTGCTCTGTGTTCTGGTACAGATAGCTGCCGGGACAGACTGCTCGGTGAGAAAGGAGATGCAGAGAGCGAACGCAGAATTACCATCCCTGTTCCAAAAACATAAAAACCTCTCTGTGCTGTGCACACACGACTTCTAGGCCACTCACACGCACACAGAGGTTCAGATACTCGAGCAGCTGTAAATTAAGAGCCCTCCAAAGACTGATGATTGTAGCAGCTCTCAGTAAAACCTACTGCCCGGCACAGAACATTTAGTCCCTGAGCCTTTGCTTCCCTGGAGGACAGTGGCTCTCAAAGTCCCTAACCCTGCCCCCTTTAGTGATGTTCCTCATTAAATTATTTTCCCTGCTACTTTATAACTGTATAAGTATCTGGCTTTTCATATGATGTGTGATAATTCAGTATGAACAAATGACTTGCTATATAATAAACTGATCTCTACTTAGTGTTTAATCTCTGTGCCCACCATTAAATAAAAAAGAAAAAAAAAAAAAGCAAAGAATCAGATTGCATTGCAAATGTTTTCTTTTTCCCAACAAAGGCAGCTTTCTCTGGAGTTTAAAACGAGACCCTACTGGCCAGGCACTCAGCGTAATTTTGGATCTCAGCAGTTTTTGGGGTACACATCTAAGAGACACAGTTTTTTTTTTTTCAACGAAATCTTGGTCAGAACACAGAATGATGGGTGCTTGCTTACTCACCAAAGATTTAACTGGGTCTCTGAAAAAAATTAATCTAGCAAGGAAAACCAGGTATCACTACTTCATCATTTTGATTATTTACGTTATACTTAGTTACGTCCGTCGCTCAAGCCATGCCGTATCTTCATTTCTAAGGAAGTACTTTTATAACACAAATTAAGGAGTAGATTGCATTACTTAGGAAAGCTTGACAGAACTGGCAATGGGAACTGGAGAGATAGAAGAGTCCACCATGGGCACCTGGAGAGTGCTGACTGTTCTCTGGCTTTAAAAAGCCCTTGCTAGCTGAAGAGTATGATTTAGGCAGATAAAAGGCATCTCTGCGGGGAGGGAGGGAGAGAGCTATAGCACTTTTAGAAGAACTGCCGGCTAAGCAGTTGAAATTGGTTTTGAAGAAAGGCGAAATGTTGTGATTTTTGAGTAGAATGCTCAGATGTGCAGAACTCCCCGGGGGATGGGCACTCGCTCCCTGTTAATTCTGTTCAGTAATTTTAATCACCCGGTAACTAATAGAGCAGAATGATGGCATGCTGTAGAAGTACAAAGCTGTCACTGGGCAGGACGGGCAGAACAGAGCTCTAGATGCCTGTGTGCAAACATCTGCCCGGACAGAGGGCTAAGGGAAAAAAACAACCACTGTGTGAAATTAGGAAAGGGGGGCACCTATGCTATGTATTGGTTATGTCTTCCCCACCCACCAAGAAGCCAACGTAGCCAGTATTTAACAAGCCATACACCTTTTAAAAAATGAAATCTTAGCGTGCTTGGAATATCTTGAGTTTATAGTTTGGCTTCAAATCATTCTGACTTAGCCACCCCACCCACAGCCCCGTTGGTTTGGTTGTGGTCTTTGGAGAAAGGTTCTCCAGGCTGTCCTGGAGCTCCCATTTCCCTGCCTCAGTCCCCTGAGCATTAGGGATACAGGCATGTGTCACCAGGCCCAGCAGAGTCTGTTTCCTGTCAGATGGGTCAAAGAGGACACCTCCTCAGAGCATCATTGTGAAGCTACAGCGAGATTTTGAGGGGGAGAGACTGAAAACAGGGGATGGGTTTCAAATCTGGTGACCCACGCTCCCCTACCGAGCACTGATCTTGCCAGAGTATGGGTAGCCATCTTATTCACATCATTCCTTTGACCTTGTCTATGTGTGGACACTGTGGTTTTCTATTCTTTTTTTTTTTTCACCTCTAAGTTAATTATTATATGTCACCAATTCTCAGTCTCTACCTTCACAGAACCACTATGTAAAGATTAGCTTCTTCTAAGGACTGGCTCACACATTGTCTTGAAAAGGCTGGGTAGTCTGATACGCTGAGGGATTAAGCTGATAGCTTCCAGTGTTTTCAAAGTACAATACTCTAACCTTCTAGAAACTGACATTTTTTACACACTCACGCACACACATACGCACACGCACACACACACACGCACGCACATGCACCCACATACACGCGCCCCCCCACACACACAAGTAAGTTATAGGGTCCAAGGAGCCTTTCTTCTTTTCTGTCTGTCTTCTCTCTCTTCCCCTCTCACCACATACATTCAAGTAAAGATGAGTCATAAATGAAAATTAAAGAAAATGTTCATTGCCAGTGGGTGGGTACCTAATTTCTTTTTGGTGTTAAAAAAAAAAAATATGTCCAAAGATAAATATCTGCCCTTCAAAGACAGAAAATGTAGTCTCATTTTACTTTTGAATTATTGCATCAGACCAGGAGTGCTTGCCTCCTGTCTGTGCTCACCAGGGCTACCCATCCTCCTCCTGTGAAACACAAACCAGAAAACCACAGTCCCGTATCTTCCTCCTGAAATTAAATTTTGGAAGGCCCAACTCAGAGGGCAGTTGGAAAGCTGGCTCAAGGCCAGCGTGGAGAGCATTGCTCAGGAACGCCATATCGTTCGTCCCCCAGGCTCCTACGGTCATTAGGATGTTCTGTGTAGGGATGCCCTGGGAATTCCAGACGCTTTCCCAAGAAGACAACCTGAGTTTGGCTTCCCACCAACCATTCTTCTTCAGCTGCCAGGACTCAGTTTGGGGAATTCTAACAGCCTGGGCTGACAGATGTACGCAGCAATGGTGGTGGCTCCGATCAAGCATGAACAGTTCAGCCACTGCCAGGCACACCGGTGGCATCTTCTGTCATGGACGGACACAGCGCCCATGTCTGTGCTCTTACTGGAGCTCAGAGGCACTGGAGCTGAAGGAAGCCATCTGCAGAGCTTAGTCAGTGCTACATCTGAGATCTGGGATGTTGGGTGATGCTTCTAACCAGAAAACGGGCCAAGAGCTGAGCATGCTGCGTCCGTCACGGTGGTGGACACAGAGTCCTATGAATAAGTTTGTGGGGAAAGGAGGAGGCTTTGTTCATCTCGTGACGGATGTCCCCGAAGAAACATGGAGTTCCCCGAACCAAGATTTAGAGGCGTATAGGAAAGTTGAAGTTAGAGTCTTTAACAGATCTCCACCCCAAGGTCACACTCAGTTGTCAAAGCAGACATTCATAATTATTTGTGTAATCCTAGCTGCCTTTTGTTGTCTTTCTGAGAGTCACATGTCTTAGTGAATCTAATTGGTCAGAGAGGCACTGTGACAATCCCCATTTGGGGGAGACAGCGTAAAATGACACGGAAGGACAGAGTAAGTAGACAGCAAAGCTGTCAATCATACGTAGCCTGGATTGGCTATTTCCACTACACTGTAGCTCCTGTTCCAGTGTAAGTGAGCACTACTCTAAAGAGATCCCTAAAAACACAAGATGCATGCCCTGAGTTTTGAGAGCCAAGCCAGATAATGATGACGGAGGATCTGGGAGGAAGTATTCCGGGGGGCTGTGCTGGGCACGGCAAAAGAGAGGTGGTAATGGTTTGACGGTGTCTCCCAGAGCTCACGTGTTAGAAACAACCCTCAGTTTTCTATGGTAATATTAATGGAAGGTGGGGACTGGAGGCAGGAATTAGGATTAGTTAAATTGGGCTCACGATGTGATTGGGCAGCGTGTGTGAAAGGGAGTAATGTGGCATTAGTAATTTTCTACAAAGATGAAGAAAGACCTTGCCCTGTGTCCACTGGGGTTGCCCTCTGCCATTTTAAGATGTAACAAGAGGGTGCTCACCAGATGCTGACACCATACTCTTCAATGTTTGAGCCTCCAGAACTAAAGCCAAATCAATCTTGCTTGTTTTTCAAGACAGAGTTTCTGTGTAGCTTTGTAGACCAGGCTGGCCTCGAACTCACAGAGATCTGCCTGCCTCTACCTCCTGCCACCACTGCCCGGTTTCAATCTGTTCTTTATAACCTATCTGGTCTCAGCATTTTGCCATAGTAACAGGGAAGGAACAAAGATAGCAGGTCGCCAGATGAATGTGACTGTGGTGTTGGGTGGAGGGACAGAGGCCAGCAAGACAAGTGGTAAGCAGATTGGGCAAAGCCACTCAGGAGGGAAAGGGCTCCTCTCCTATGGCAAGCACAATGAGATGCCAAAGCAGACAGTTTCTGCTAAGGGAACGCTAAAGTTATAGAAGCAGAAATTGTGATGCCAGCAATGGGCTACAGGCCACGCCCTTAAGAGGCTTTTGCGCCAAGGCCACCCTCCCCTTCGCAGTTCCTCAAGCAGGGCTGGTGCTGTCCTCGTGATAAAAAGAAGGCGCACGTCTTCTAGGGCAGTCTGTCTATGCCATCTCTGCACGCCAGCTTTGACTACTAGCAAACCTCTTTCCGAAGTGACGCTGGAGAGGATCTGAGGCTGTCTAAGGATTGGGTGACAAGGTGTGAGTTGCCCGACAACGTCTTTCCTGACAGCATGGGTGTCACCTGTGTTCTGGAGGGCGGCTGCAATGCGAGGCTTGCTTCTCTGACCAACCACCATTGGAAATGCTCACTCCTGTCCGTGGGGTTCTACTCCGCCCCTCTCTGTGCTTGCATCTCTCCACGTTTCACAGAAAAATGCCCGTGTGCAGAAGGAGCCGAGGCTTCAAATGGCGCCCCTGGGGGAGGCTTACCTTTTTCGCCCCTTGCTCTTCTTCTACGCCGTCTCCTATGACAACATACACCACTTTCCTTCCAAACCTCTGGGTGATCCTCTCAAAGCAGCTCTCCTTTCCTAGTGGGCCAGAGCACATTTCAGAAGTGGGACAGCTGGGGAACTGTGCGACAATGCGCAGTGGAACCCAGTGTGACAATGCGCAGTCGCTTTGAATAGACGCTTTTTGTTCGTGCTTCTGATCCAACTCCATCCCACCCGGGAAATGAGGCTAGCCCCTGGAATAGTATGAGCATAGCACTGTGGGGCAAAGGGTGTGGATTCATTAGCAGTTATGTTATCCGTCTCTTGAAAAATGGGTGCCTGGGACACATCAGGCCAAGACAGCATTCAGCCTAACACAAAATCACAAACTTAAAATCTGAGTTTTGTTTTGTTTTGTCTGTACCATTGCACAGTTCTTAAGCATGAACTTTGACAATGCCACATCTCAATGCCAAAATGTTGGACGCCCCGACTGAAATACTCTCTTCTAAAGAACTTGTGTCGGGGTGGGGGGGTGGGGGTAGGGGGGTGGGGCACACAGCATGCACACACATGCTATGTTGCAGTAACACAGTCTTTCCCCACAAGCTGAGATCTAAAAGGCATGCAATCTGGCGGCCTATTCTACCTTGAATTAAAAACTTGTTATATCAAGTGGAACATAATACAGGGTCAGTGAGAGTATTAAAAAACAAAATCCAACTTGGATTTGGTATAGCAAAAGAAATCAAACACTGGCATAGGCCTCTCTGTCCACTTGCAGGTCTAGAGAAAGACATGCAAGGCCTAATGTCTTTTTGCTTAATGGCGTCTCGTGAATGTCTTCATATAATAAATGTCGGCTATCGTGGGCGTGGGTACTACACCAGACCCAGCTCTCTTCTGCTCAGCCAAGCACTTTCCTGGAGGCAAAGCAGGATGCAGGGAACAGAACACCGCTATCTGTCTACTATCTTTCCCATGTCAGGACTTCCGTGGGGCTTGGTTGGCGGCTCTGCTGTCAGCGCATCTCTGCAGCCAATGGCAGCATTGTTTTTCCTCTGAAGAGATCCACGTTCCAGGTCTCAGCTGCCAATAAGGTCATTTTAACAGACAATGGGACAGTTTATAGTTCTCCAGCGTGAATGGCTGTGCCTCTCTCAAATGAGGATCAGGTATACACATGAGCAAATTGCTTGTTTGCTTAAACAAATGTCTGCTTTATGCTTGTATTTTGCACTAAGATCTCTCGTTTGCATCTGACAGAGTGGAAGACAGCCAGCCTTAGTCAAAGATGCCTTTCGGTAGACAAACAGCTTTTTTTCCCTCTGGATGGGAAAACACTTAGAAGTTTTGCAAAGTTGTATTGTTTTATGCAGAAAGGAAGAGTAAACTGATTGCTATGTATTGCTATGTAAATGCGTGCAGTTTTTTCCTGTGTTCTTTTTATTTCTTACAGTGTTAGGGATCAGACCCGGGCCTTTCTTACAGATTAGGCTAATCTCTCCACCCTGGCAAATCCCTTAAAGATTATTTCAGGGTGCAGTTTTGGTTGGAGAAAAGAAAAAGTCTTGCTTCAGTATGTCACCTACAGGCTTTATTGCAAACTTTGGGTTAATGTAGGGTTTTTTTTTTTTCCACATGAAATATTTAAAAAATTAATTTGGTGCCTTCTCTACAGTGACCTCCACATTGATTTTATTCAATTTCTACTTCTGTTATTTTGACATAAAAGTATATTGGCTTACAAAGCATGAGTAGCTCTCAGACTCGAGAAAGGCAGATTTCAAAGGTGGTAACCCTCTCTGCCTAGGCTTTCTGCTGACCCCGCTGCCTGTAAGAGCTCTGTGTCAGCTTCCTTCAGTGCATAGGCCTTTATCCTTTTCATTCAAAACCCTTCCCTGAGTATGCACTAAATGCTGGGCACCGTGATGACAGAGTGAGACAAAGGCCCCCAGGAACATTAAAATCTGAAGGGAGATTCACACTATAAACAAATGAGGAGTTCTTCAGGGATGTTGGGAAGGAGGTTTTAAAAGCATGGGAAGATGGAAGTTAGACCTGAGGGTAGTTGTCTTCCCACCGGTGAGCATACGCATGCTCTTGCTGTCTTACAGTAATACGCAGGGCGCTAATGTACGCTGGCAGCTGACCCCTGGCTTGGGCATTTCATAAGTACTGAACAACAGCCACTCAGGGACAATCACAAGGCCCTTGACCTCATTAGCATATCTGCTCAACAAACACTCGTATTTGTCCTTCTCCACCCAGCAAACGTCATTTTGTCCCTTAGCTTTGGCTCTCACTGACCTCTGATCCCCCTTGGCTGGCAGCAACAACTTCCTCGGCCCTGCACACAGCCAGGCACTTAGCAGGCTATCTCCTTGTGGAGAGGATTTATCAAGGTGACCTGAGGCTTGGCTCTTAGCCATTTACCTTAACAACTTAAGCATGGGCACTTATGTTTCCTCATTTGTAAAAAGTAAAGATGAATATGCAAAATGCCCAGTACAGTTCTCCACATCTTGTACAAGCCTTCTGGAGACTCATTTGAATAGCTCCTTGTCATAATGGGTCACAGATGGTTATTTGCTCCCCTTGGGGACAAGTCAGGACTTCTCATCCTTTTCCTTCTTAGTTTATACCCTAGCCACGTTTCTTATCAGACTTTACACCCCTCACTGCTCTGTTCTCCTTGTGGGAAGCTACCCTTTTTTGTCTTCCCAGAATTAAAATGAGAGGTTAACTTTTATACATATTGAGCTAAAACTAACAAAAGGCCATTTCCAGTAAAACAGGGATACTCTGCATGGATACGTTTGCTTCATCTTATTAAATGTTTGTGTTGAAGTTATCTAAAAGAATAATTCAATAGTTCAGAACTTATGTTAAATCATTTGGGCCTTAAATGCCCAGTCTTCACCTTCTCCAGCAAAGTTAACATTTATCATTCACTTATCTGGGTTGTTTTTGATATTTCCCATGTTTCTTCCTTTTTTTTTTTTTTTCTGACATAGCAAGAATTCCGAAAAACAAGTTGCATTCACACTGGCCCCAACAAAAAGGATTAGTTAAAAAACATAAAGAGCTCACCTATTTTAGTGGCACTGTAAATATTTTCTATTGGAAACACGATTCCTAATCCATAGAGGAGCACTTTCGCCAGTGCCGGGATGAGCTGGGTAGTCGTTACTAAAATGTTCACACAATTCGTCCTATGAGAACCCAGAGAAGAGAGGCAGACTGTTGACAGATAAGTCTTCAAGAGAAGCAAGCCTGAGCAATGCCCACTTCCCAGCCCATGCCCACGGGCGCCTCACCGGGAGTGAATGAGGGAAAGGGCCTTCAGCGCCAGGGTCAGCCAGGAGTCTGTGAGAGCTTCGATCTCAGCCCTTAGCTGGAGCCACGCTTCCCTCTTAGCAGGGCCAAGCAGACCTGAGGAGTAGAATGCCCATGAGACCAGCGTGCTCACCCGCATGCTCACCCACGTGCTGAATAGTTTCAGATATCATTCAGTTGCAAATGTGTTTAGTTTGTGGGGAACATCTGTAACGATGTATAGAGTAAGAGACACGGGATGAGGATAAAATGTGGATTATTATATTTTATTCGGGGAGAAGTCACTAACATGAGAAACCAATGTCCGGCCTGCTCCCAACCCCAAGGATCCACACCCAGGCTGCTCTCCATGACCCAGCAGCAGGAATCAAGAGAGAGCGAGCTGTGGTCCAGGACCCCAGACCAAATATCACACGCTCACCTATGCACCTGTGACCAAGCCCAAATGCTGACCAGCCACTCACTTCCTGTGACTGACTTTGGAAGGGCTCCTAGCTAGAGGAAGGCACCAACCATGTCTTTTGAGCATCTAGCTCCAGCCATATTGTACAGCCCTCTCTGTACACTTCACATTGTATCACCTGACTATTATCTCCTTTATACTCAAGCCTCTTAGACTACTGTGAACTACACTGAGAAGTCTCAGGCCCACCCAGCACAGGTGAGGGAATAGTGTAAGTTAGAACCCATCTTGTATTGTGGACAAAGCTTTCTTAAAAGGACCACTGAGTGTGGGAGAGGTCAAGGAGCTCACGCCATGTCACAGCTGGTCAGAGCGAGGCACTAGGTAGCCAGGGCAGCTGGCTCTTGTCATATTTGTCACAGGATTGTAGTAGAAGTTCATCAGTTAGACGAAACCGTCCTTATTCTATTATGCCCAACAAGGCAAGTCCCCGAAGGAGTGGCACTTTGCAAATTGTATCTAGACTATCTGAAGCAGCCCACCGGGGTATCCATGAGCCACTGACCTCCCACGTTGTTTTTGTAGGTGTTGTAGATTTCTTTTACTCGTCTGTAGCGGAAGGCCAGCTTTCGCATCCAGTCCACGCCGCCTCGGACACCAGTTGCCAGGCATAAATTAGCACTGGTGGCTGCCGCAGGAAAGCCATCTGTCCCGAAGTTGTATGTGCTATCGAGATTCAACCAAAGTCCAGAGTTAATCAGACAGAAGACAGATCTTAATCAGCCGAGCAATTAAACTGATAACAGAGGGAGTGGTCAGTCTGTGTGTCAAGGTGCTCACCTCAGGTCCTGGCCATTATCATCTGATGAGACATCATCTATATGAACTTGGTCACATTCCTAAAACGCAATTTAAATGATGTGTATTAATTTTTAAGAAGCACCTTAAAAAAAAACCAAAACAGTTATTTTTAAAAACACCTTAATTGGCATGTTTTCCAACTGTGTCCATCAGTAGGCAGCAGTCTTGTTAAATTGACATTTTTACCTATTTGGGGCTCTTTTCTTTAAGAACCAAGCGATGTCATCAAGGACTACTGTTACTCAGCTTTGGAAAACACACTGTTGTGTTTAGAAAGGAAAGTGATTGAAAACAATTAGCATGTGTGTTCCATAAACCTCAGGTACCTAAACACACCATTCGACTCAAAGCCTTGAGTAACTGAGTGCCGGCTGGCCTAACCGAAACCAGACATTTTGGTAAACGCAACATGCTAGAAAAATTAAACCTGATGCTAACTGCCAATGAAATTATGACCTCTGATTGCTGCTGAGCCACACACCAACACAGCCTCAGGCCAGTGTGCCGAGGAGCCTAGACAAAAATCTGTTACTGGTTTACTATTTATTTCAGAGATGTGAGTTTTGGTCTCTCTCTCATTCTCTCTCTCTCTCTCTCTCTCTCTCTCTCTCTCTCTCTCTCCCTCTGTGTGTGTGTGTGTGTGTGTGTGTGTACACTCACACCCACATGTTCAGAATTTAAAAAGCGTGGAAGACTTCAAAACTAAATAAAAATAATCAAGCCATATGGTATGTTTTGCCCAAACATTTTCCTGTTATTTTTACTGTTTTGCTAGCATTACACATTCATGGCACATACATGAGCACTGTATTTATTAGTTCTCATAGAAAAATGCTATTGTGAGCACACATGGCGCATGTGCTGTTCAGAGCATCTACTCACATGGGCTAGAGCTTAACAGTGCACGTCCCCAGTTTGTGCACCTGTTCACATAGAAACACCAAGTGAGTGAGCATCTTCCCCCTCTATGCCCAGCTCCTGTGGCAATTGTCACCATGAGTGACTTAGAAATGGAGATGGTGGCTATCACAGAAATAAGCAATCCCTACACTTGGCTTGCTTTTAAAGGTCAGTTACAACCCTGCCATTTACTCATTCTCCATATAACCCACCGGACCTTAGGATACTTATTTCCATTAGAGTTTTAGTTTAAAAAAAAAATTATTAGAAGAGGGTTCTCCAAACAAAGGTTCTGGCAGGTTTCAGACAGAGTTAGCTACGAGAAGTCTAGTGCCTCTCTGCGAGTCAACAAATTCAGGTATGGCACAAAACAACACACGTCTAGCACCATAGTAATGGAAGGAAGATTCTTCATGCTGCTGGCTCCTCTGGACAAATCCCTCCTCTCCATGGATTTGTGAGGAAGGCAGCATGAGACAGGATTGGAAAGAAATATAAAACAGCTGTCCTTTCACAGAATTAAAAATGTGACCCGCCCCCAACCTCTCCCCAAAGTATCTCTTTTGCAGGCAGGGCTCTCCCAGCAAGAAGCAGAGTTCCAAGGAGGAAAAGACTTTGACCTTGTAACCCTCCTCAGGCTCTCCTGAGGTCTTTGACCTCCGATAAGACCAAAGAGAGAGAGAGAGAGAGAAAGAGAGAGAGAGAGAGAGAGAGAGAGAGAGAGAGAGAGAGAGAGAGAGGGAGGGAGGGAGGGAGGGAGGGAGAGAGAGAGAGAGAGAGAGGAGCAGAGTTGAGAGTCCTTAGATGCTCACTGTGAATTTAACGTTTGCAAAATGAGTCATTCCCAGGAAACAGCAGGCATATTGCTTTCTCAGCATTAACAATGGAGTCTTAGATTAGAAGATAGAGTAATTGTTCTGTTCGTGTGTTCAGCAACACAATCCTAGCTTTAAAGGGTTTCTAACTCAGGAAAATAAATTCCAGAACCTTATCAAGCAATGAAATTTTTATGTTTTTTGTTTGTTTGTCTGTCTGTTTTGTTTTTTTTTTTTTTTTTCAGCATACTGTTAGTGGAGGGAGAAAAGCCTACAATGCTTTGGGAGACCCTTTCTCTCCTGTGTAAGTCAGGAACCAGCAACTTACACAAGACGTGTTAAAAGGTGGGTTTGTGGGATTTAATTCAAGGACTCAAGACCAGCTGAGAGCACCCTAGCTAAGGGTGGCAAGGGTTGTTTGGAAAGCAGGGTGCAGGGTCTTAAAGTTGTTTAGTTTTAAATCTCCACCCACTGAGAAGTGAGCTAACACAGCAGAGGGTCCATTGCTGTCATAGCTTTTCCACACCCAGTGTTTGATGTCTCCTGCTAGCTGTCTTTAAGACTCATTGTTCCAAGCTGGACCCCCAAGTGAAGACTTCTAACTCTAATCAAAAGTCAACAGCTTCTAGCTTTTCCTGGCTGCACAGTTTTCTCCAAGGTGATTGGGTTTAAAAAGAAAGGCCCCTGTAACAATGGCATTCTTATTCTCAGCAGAATTTTGTAGAGTTTAATGGAAGGAGACTTTTTAAAAGCAAGTGCCTTTAAATGGGCCCAGATAGCCCATTAATGAAAATACCTCCGATTGTTTAAGGAATAGAAATGCATACTAGTGCTTTAAGCTCATGTACATGTACTATTTCCTTCTGAAACTGTGAACTTGGCAGTAACAAGTAATGCTATAATTGCTCTGTATTACCTAGCAAACTTCTGATGGCTGGGGTTGGGGGGTGTTTATCAGTTGTAGAGCATTTTCCTAGCATGTGTGAAGTTCTGTTGATCCCTAGCATTTGCATGTACACACACAAACACACACACACACACACACACACACACACACACAGACACATACACACACTGAAATGCCAAAAACCCAGAAACCTGGAAAACACAAAGAGGCTGCAATACTCTACACATGCTATGTGTTGGCTTGTCCTAAGTGTGTTTACTACCAAACTGGGATTTTTCTTCTCTCCATTTCAGAAGCCAACATGTCTTCCAGGGCCTTCTGAAGCCTTTGGGTTGTTTTGAAAGATTCTACTAGGCTTTCATTCCCATTTGGGTTTTCTTGTTTTATAATTTCCAAATTTGCTTTACAGACTAGATTGGGGGAGGGGGCAGGGCTCCTCTTCACAGACTCTGGTTTTAAGCTGAATGAGCCTTGGTTCCAAGAATCCATTTCCAGGTACCAAAAATGGGTCCTGAAAAACTCAAACTAGGTTCTTAATACAGAGAGCAGGGTGCACAGGATTCCAGTGGGGGGGGGGAGGGGATAGGCTTGGGGATACACTTTTATTCCAAAAGCATACCAAACATGCTGACAGTGTTCTTTTGAAAATATGTGGTGGGCTGTGAGAGCTGAAACCACCGCTGAACGAGTCTGAGGGCAGTGCTCACACTTCTGGGAGCCACTGCCAAGTGGACATATTTTACACATTAATGTTCAGTACTGGGGCTGGCGAGTGTGAAGAGACTTGCACTGTCCGGCCTGAGACCTAGTGGCTAGGAGGGGTGGGGCTCAAGACCTAGTGACTGTATGGGGTGTGGGGGGCACAGAGCTAGTGACTGCAACGACTCCAGACAGGGTCTGAACTTCTGCCCACCCGAGTAGGCTAACAAGCTGGTGCTCACTCCTCCAGCCATTGTCTATAAAGAACAGCTTCCTTTCATTACTGTTTCTGAGTCTGGAAACAATGGGGAATAAAACAAAGATCCTCATCCTACAAACTAGGCTCTTCGTAGGGGAGCCATGCAAGAAGACAGGCAAACAAACCTTCTACTAGGTCTGGTAGAGATGGAAGCTACAGATACATGCAGCTAGGCAAGGGGATGTGCAACGCCAGATGAGTTCGGAGGGAAAAAAAAGACTCTTGTAGGCAAGGGGAAAAGTAAGTTCAAAATCCCCGAGGCAGAAGAAAGAACACAGAGAACCACTGGGCACAAGGTCACAGCAAACAGCTCTCACTGGCTGCACTTAGGGAGCAGCAGGGAAAGGTCTGATCTAACTTCACAAAGACAGATTGATTCTACTTGTGGTAAGTGCAACAGCAGCTCATGGAGTCCAAAGGAACCCCCTTCTGCTAAGGATGCAGAGGTCTGAAAAACAGACATTAGCAAGGAATGCCATAGGCCACTGCTTGCCTTTGTTAGTTTTGTGATTGCAGGGATCTACCATGTAGACAAGGGTTGGTATTTTAGGAAGGATCCCTTGAACTGTGATAACAGGACAAGACAACTTAGAGGGTCTTAGACTGGCTTGCCAGACCTCTTTCTTCTAGTAGCTTCGGGGTGGGCAAAGAAGGGGTTATTATTGGGCAAGGCTTTACTTCTTTCTCGAAAATTACAGACAGCATTCAGTGACAGAGAAGGCTGGTAAAGACACCCTGCGTCTCTGGATCTCCAAATCTACACGGCATTGGTGTAGAGTTAGAAATAGATGCTATGCGAAGGGGGAAAATATTGTTTATGCTAAGGGCTTTAAAGCCAGAAACATTGCATAAGGGAAAACCAAGTGTGGATCACAGCATATGGAATTATAACATTTAAAACCTCTTTTAAATGCATTTTCATCGCGTGTGTGAGACATATGTGTATGCAGGTGTGTGAGCGTCACAGCACCTGCGTGGCGGTCAGAGGATGACTTGCTGGAATCAGTTCTAGCCTTTCGTCATGTGGGTCTCAGCGAGCAAACAAACACAGGTCTTTACCTGCTGGCACATGCTGCCAGCCCATAACTAACATTTCAATTTGGCCAGCCACTTGTGGAATTAAATAGTGCAAAGAGTCCTCGGGAAGAACAGGGCCCAGTGTAAAGCTATGATTGTCTTTTGCTAAGAAAATTTATTAGTAACTACTAAATTTGAACATCACTAAACATAGCTACTTTCCCTCCTGGGGTTGGTCCCTCTCTTTCTAGAAGTGAAGCATTGACCACTCCTCCATATCTGGTTCCCAGAGTGTTCTGCCTTGATGTTTTGTGTACCTTGCAGACCCCTCCTTCCCAATAATACCAAACCACGTCATTAAGAGCCAATTCCTCTGCAGGCTGATCACCCAAGCCAAAACAAACAAACAAACAAACAAGCAAAAAAAAAAAAAAAAAAAAA